GGCAATCAGTTCAACACCTTTGGAAATGGTTCTTATGAAGGAAACATTGGACTGTGTGGAATCCCATTGTCAAAATCTTGTGATGGAATTGGGACACCACCGAGCTTCTTCCAAGAAAAAGATGAGTTGTGGAGATTTGGCTGGAGGGTTGTTGTGTTAGGCTATGGATGTGGAGTTGCTTTTGGACTGCTGATGGGATGTATTGTCTTCCGAACAGGAAAACCAAAATGGTTTGTGTCTTTGTTTGATGGCCGACCAAGTCAAAGTGGAAGGAAGATGAGGAAAGCCAGAAGACTTGTTCAAAGAAGAAGCTAATTGCAGAGTTGATGTTTTAGAGCTTCTGATTTAATGTTTCCTGAATAAGTGCTTTTCGGGTTTGAAGTTCTTGTTATGGCTGGCATTGGCTTGTCTAAAATTGTCAGCCCTCTCTTGTCTTTATTATGCTTTGTAATTTTATCTTTCTTTATTGTAAAATATATTTGAAGGTTTAAGCTGTTAATCGTTCTTAGTTGTCCAATTAATCTACTTCCTTTAGCAGACTCATAAAAATTCTTGTTTGGATTTTGATGGAATCATTTCATAAGTGGGGAATCTGGATTTTTGGATGGTTATCGTCTTGGGGACATAACTGTAATTGTCATGTTGGGAAGGGTAAGTCTTATGATTTGGGCTTCGGTCTCTCTCTCGCACTCGCTTTCGGCAACATCTTCCTTCACAGCAGAAAGAATCAAATGGAAGTAGCCTCCATTTCCACAGATGAAGGGACATTATCAGCATCACAGAATCACCTCAATTTCACCTCTTTAGGGTTCCTCTTCTATTATGAATCCCAACTCCTCCGTTCCATCTGCAGCAAACCCATCAATACCCATCCTATTCTCCCTCAACCTCTGTTTTTACGTTGTCACCTAGCATGCTCAATTCCAACGGGAAGAAGGAATAGGATTGGGAAAGGGAATACAGTTTTGGTTTTTCTTTTTTCTTTTTTTATTTTTGCTGAATTTTTAACATTTTCCTTCAACTATAACTATTGTGGGGGCTTGAGGCACCTAAATCCGCGGTTATCAATCGACCCCCCTTCATTGCCGGATCCAAGTGTTTGGGTTTCATGCAACAAAATTGAAATTTGAAATACTCCAATTGTTTCAATCCGTCCATCTTTGGTGGAATTTACACTTTGAGATTGTGAATACTTGGCATTGTTGGTACTAGAGCTCTTCTGAGATTGTTAAGTGAAAAAACAATGATCTGGGTGGTAACCGAGGTGAGGTTTTAGGCCTGGATTTGGAGTCTCTGAAGATTTTGCTGAAGTGGGGGGTTTTTCTGGGGGCGATGAATTGTGGCTTTTTCGTTTTCTGGTGCAAGAGGGTGCTTGCGGTGGAGGAAGTGGTGAATGCAAGGTACGGAGTGATTGAGCAGTCGGCATTGTTGTTGAGGAATGCGTGGCCTAAGGTTTCACGGTTTGTAAGATTTTCAAAGACCAAGGTGTGATTCTGACCGCACTTTAGGTCTATCTGCATTATTCTCAATGGCACAGACTTCTATCACTACACTTGTGGCCATGGAATGTTTGCTTTCTTTGTTTGATGATTGATGATTCTTGTAATTAGTGAATAGCAATTGAAATTTGAATTTTGGTATGGAAATATGGAAAATTTTGGAAAGATGAAATATATGAAGTTGAAGAACATTCACATTTAATGATTGTTAAGTTTCAGTAACTTTTATCCTGGAAAGTTTGTGGTTGTTGTGTAATGGCATTTGCTGACTTAAATATTGGGTTAAGTTTAGCAAAGATTAATCTGATCTCCTTTTTCAATTCTTGACTGTGAATTTCATGCAGCATTATTAATGTTGTCTTGTTTGGTTTAGATGATACTGGTTTCTACTGTGTTTATATGGTTCATATTAACT